CGGTGATGCCGTGCAGGACTCGGTGATGCCGTGCAGGACTCGGTGATGCCGTGCAGGGTTTGGCATTGCCCTGCAGAGCAGGAGCTCTTTGCAAGCGCTCAGTAGAACACTTTGCACTTGGAGCAGGTCACAAGGTTCTCATGAACCCAGCAGATGTTTTACTCTGGAGCAAATGAAACCTTTCCAAGCCGAGCTCTCCTGCCACTTAAAGCAACAACAGCAGGAAAACCAAACCCGAACGCAACACAGAAGGTGCGTTTCATGCTCAAAAGGCCCTTTGCAGCTCTTGGGATGTTGCAGATCCCCAGGACCCAGCAGCGCCTGGTAGGAGACACGATCCGAAGTGATGCCGCATTTCTGACCCCAGTGCCAGCAGGGAGCTCTATTAATATCAGTAGGAACATCCAGGGATAAATAAAGTACTGTGAGTCAATGGGAATTGACCACAAAGCTGAGATCTGCCTTCTTGAGGCGTGCGGTGCCCAGAGCCTGCCTCTGCTGTGGGGCCAGTCCTGCTGGAGACACCAGGAAGAGCTGGAAGCGGCCCGGGGAGAGCTGGGGGTCTGACACTGCAGTGAGTGCACGTGTTGGGGAGAAGCTGATGTGTGTTTGTACTTGCACTGGGAGAGAAGCACAGGGTCGCACCCGAGCTCGGGATGCACTTGGTGCTGTGTGTGGGATGGAGCCGGTGGGATGCTCCCGGCAAAGCACCATGTGTGTGACGGGGCAGAGAGCGGCTGTAGTGAGGGGTTGTCCAAGCCCCCACATGCTCCAAAGGCTTTTCAGGACACGGAGCTTGTGTTTGCTTTGGGATAGCGGGAGCAGTGATGGTCACCAGCTGCACTTGGCTGGGATGCGCGGGGCTGGGGCGAGGAGCCAGGTTTTGGATGCACCGGGCAACGCAGCCCCTGGAGTTGCTCAGTCGTGGCCCCGGTGCTGGTGGCTTCGCTGTCAGGTTCAGACCAGGACGTCCTCAGTAACATTTGCATCTCCCCTTCCTCTGCACCTTCCTCTGCTCCTGCCGCAGCGCTCAGGGGGCAGATGAGCCCCGGGAACCCGCCAGGCCCTGGTTAGAGCTGGGTAGGAGAGGGGGGTGTTTGTCCTGAACACAAGCACCAGCCCCGTGCCTGCCTGCAGCCGGGCAGCGCAGGGATGCTGCTGCAGCACGTGTCAGTGGTTGTCGTGTGTGGAGCAGCATCTTTGCCATCTGTAGCTTCCTCCAGGTCCCCGCCGAACCCCAAATGCCTCTTCGTTTCTATGCCAGACAAGTGAGTAAAATTTCATAGCAAAGAGGCGCTTCATTAATCACCGGCTTTTACCATTCTGCTCACTCCTGGAAAGGAATTCGGGGTCTCGATAATGGCTCCATTGTCCAGGCATGTGCCTCGAAGACGGATGCACCTGTCTCAGCAGCGAAATAGCTTTGCAGAGAAACACGATCGCCTGAAAACCCCGGGCTCTGCTGACAGCAGCACTCAGATAAGATAATCTTCCTATGCCACAGCGTAGGGGAACAATAGTTGCATTGTAGATTATAGCCACGCTCAAACAAAGAGGTTATTCTTATTTCCCACCCCCCCCTTAATAACTGCATTTGGTTTGAAACAATCATGGCTTTTCGAGCAAGTTTGCTGCCGGGGCTGAGGAATGAGGCCGAGCCCTGGAGAGGGGCAGAAGCGCCGGGAGCCGTCAGCAGCTCATCAGCCTGCACGCATCCGCCTCGCCTGCAGCCCCTGCATGGGGACGGCACGGCTCGTGCGGGGTGACTGTGCTCGTGCCCCACGGGATACCAGGGCTGCATCAGCCTTGCGGTTCCGTTTGAGAGCAGGCAAAGTGTGTACCTGCCCGGGAGCAGTGCGGTGGAGCGGCTTTGCACGGGCACGGTGCTGTGAGCGAGCAGCACCCGTGGCCATGGGCAAATGGCCTCTGCGTGTCCATGGGCAAGGGTCAGGCACTCATGACTCCGCTCGCACCTTTGGCTTTGCGCAGGGATATTCAGCTCCCTGGTGATGGGCACGTGAAGGATTCATGGCTGGTGGCTCACCATGATCGCCTCTGCCCCCTGTTTCAGCGGTTTCTGCTCCTGCTTTGGCAGCTCAAGGGCAGCAACCAGGGGCTCAAACAGGAACCAGTAATTTGCCACCCGTGACACCAGTGTCTGTGATGGGGGAGAGGGGATGGGGGGACACA